TCTCCAAGCAGGTAGCAAATGCAACTGCAAAAACCCCACAGTCACTGCCATTTGTTTGTTGCTGCACTGGCTTTGGGTCAAGAGCAATCAAGCGTCCCCCTAATAAATCATTTGTTTGTTCCTCTACTTCTTGAATAATGACTGAGTCATGATAGAGGCTATCAAAAAGGTTTACATGTCCAGGCACACATCCTATTGAGCTAATACACACCCAATGATCGTTCCCAGTGTGCAAAATTTGAACGAATTCACCACTAACAACATCAAAATTTCTAACGGGGCCAAGTGTCGGTCGCTGAAAACCTGCGATTGTCGGATTCTCCTGTTTTAATAATACATGGGCTTGTTGGATGATATCACAGTCCAGCCATCCAGTAGGATTAACAATTAAATCAAAATGGTTGTCCGATAGATTTGCTAATGCACTGGTCTTACCAGTTTCACCCTGGAGGACTTTCGTAATGACAACATCACTTTCATCCTCACTACTGGAGGAATCTGATGAAGAAGAACAAGTGATAAAGGTGTCATTAGCTTGGGCAGGGGTGACCTTTTTGCATGGAGGGCATTTCCAGGTTGTTCTGTGATTGTTTGGATATCGCTTCAAACCAAGACAAGCAAGGTGGAAGTATTTTCCATTTGTGCAGCTTTCTCCATGGCACTCAACTAACTTGTCTGTAGGGGTAGGCTTTGCCTTGCAAATACAAATGCTGTCATGTTTCATTACTGCTTGATCTGACACAACAGTAGGTCTTGGGGATTTTCTGGTATTCCCTTTCCTCTTGAACTGAGGCAGTCTGCAGCAGTGAGGGCAGTACCAGGTCTTTGGCATTGCAATGGAGGTGAGAGAGAGACAAGAAGGGTGAAGCCTTTGATAAGGGCAGTCACTGTTACTACACAAAATGCTGTCCTCGTCTCTTTCTCTTCGGCAAAAACAAATGGCATCCTTGCTCGGTAATGTAGGTGGTAGTGTGCACCTTCGGGTGTACCACCGTCCCAAAATCTCTGGGAGAATGCATATTCTCCAGAAAGTTTCTAGTTTAGGCAAAACAGAGTTCCAGTGCTGCACATCTGGATATACATGCTGCACAAACAAGTGAGTGTTTTTTGCCTTATCAATGGCATACACCACAAAGTCATCATACTGAAGATCTGGAACTGAGAAAAGCTGCTGCTGTACTTGATAGTAGTAGCTGTGGCTCTGTTTCAGCTGTAAATTCCCATTTACTTTTTCCAGGCAGGAATTTTTATGTTGAACATAGTCATCAAAGTTGCTGTCAATGATGACTACTGGACATTTAACTTCCCCACATCCACTTCCACAACAGTCACATGACACGAGAAAGTCAGGAGTGGCATGAAGAAATGGATTCTCTTGGTTGATGAATGACCCGCACTTCTTGACTTCTAAGTTCACATGACGAGCTTTCATGGATGCTTCATATGCCTTTATGGCATCGACTTCGTGCTTCTGCCCATACCTCGTAGCTTTAGTGTTGACTTTATAGAGGCTTGGATAACAAACTGTCTTTATCAAAGACTGGGAGGGCTGGGCAAGGTTTGTGTGAAAGGCTGAAAAGCACTGAGATGCACCAATTCTACCAGCACGATGTCTATAAAAACCAGAACCACTTGCTTGAGTTCGTGTGCTGATTTCTACTTTTCTGATGTGTTCCTCAGAAACACCCAATGTTACCTCAACACACATTTTGATTAATTCCGGGTAATCCAGCTCAAGATTTTTCGTTTCAAATAAATCAGGAATGATTGGCAGTGTGCGGCTTTCATCAATAAATTGGTCAGCATGGGGATCAATTAAGCTAAGTGCTACAGCTTTGATTTTGCAAGCGTTTAGCTTGGCATAGACCTGCTGCATTTCCCCATCTGATGGAATCGCATTAGATATAAATGTTTGATCACACCGTTCGTCCAGGATTTTGCTTCCTTCGCCAGTATTTTGATGTGATGTCTCGATTTTCTGTTCAAGCGAGCTTTTGAGTTTTTTTGCCGAGGAAAAGTCAATGTCCCTTACCTTTGCATATGGTACTTCGTTGACATATGTTGGCAAAATCCACGTGCATTTTGTTTGAGTACAGGCGAGCTTTCCTTGAATCCGTGTCACAGCTTCGATGTAAAACATCACGCTCGCTACATGGGAACAGGATTCAGCTAGTCCTGCCTTGCAGCCTAAGCAATGGGCAGAAATAATGGTGCCGTCCTTTTCTACAATGATCCAAATGTTCACAAGAGGATCGTTCATTCGCTGCGAATGTCTCACCTTGGCCACAACAACAATCTTGCCCGCTATTTCTTTCCCTTGAACTGACGCAACAAATCCAGAAACCATCTGATTGTACGCCTCCAAACTTTTGAAGGCCTTGAACTGCTTGTTTGTGTAATAGCTTGTCTCCAAAACTAAATAGGACAGCAAGTCCGAGACTTCTATAGGAGGCAAACATTCTGAACTGAACTGCTCGCTCGGTATGGCCGCTGGATCTACGCCAACCACAGAAATTTTCTTCAAATAGCGCTCTCGGACGTGGCTTTCGAGGTTATTTGCGTAGGATGAAAGCACTGGTATCTGACCTTGTGATTTTGGGTCGTTTTCTTGGGAAATATCCATTGGAAAGATGAATTATTTGAAGACTTTGAACGCGAGCGCTCAGAAATGGCATACATTTCCATATAATTTCACACCTCGCATGGGCACCAACATGGCGGAAACCAAATTTGCATAAACTTATGACGTCAGCTGAAAACCGAGAATACATACTTAAGCATTTAAATTAGGGTATCTAAGGTTGACGAATCGACACGATTCGCACGGATCGATTCGACTCGTCATTTGTAAAGGCGATCCTTCTCACTGGAAGTCGATTTGCAGAGGAACGCAATACACACTTAAGCGTTAACGATTCGCACGCGTCGAATCGACGCGTTTTTAGTCAAGTCGACGTCCATTCGCAAAAAAAATCCTTCAGTTCATTAGATTTTTCGTCAGAAATCTATTCGCAGAAGAACACAATGCACGCTTAAGCTTTGATGACTTAAAAGGGTGAACTTCACTTGTTCTCTATTTGTGTCCATGTCGATTCTCATAATTAATACGAACACCTAAGCATCAGAGATTAGTGGATGAAGGTTAATCAATTTTGTTGAGTCTAAATGATTTGCGCAGCTGGAATCGAGTCATCATCAGGAAAGTTAACCCGTCTCATTCGAATCTCAGATAAATGCACATGAACTTTTCTCGTTTGACCTAAGAGGATAAGTAAGCTATCAACGCAGGCACACGCTAGATTTATTTTTTATGCATCATGCACCTGTTTTGTAAGTGGTAAGTTTATAGAGCACTGAAGCCGCTTTCATTTTTAACGATTCTTGTATGTTAACTGCTGGAACTGAATAAGGTCTTGCGTGTGCTAGGCTTTGGCGCTATTGTATATTTTATTTTCGTTCTGCTTCTCGGAGGCTTTGTTTACGTTGTCTTCTTGCACATTTTCGACGATTCCTTTTTCTTTTCAAAAAGACTAGAGTTACCAAATACTCTCAACTACAAGAAAATACCTCGTTTTTAAATAGATGTGACGTAGTATCTGCCCAAACTGCTCGTCGTGTGATCACGACAGCTTTGGAGACGTGCGACCTGAAGGCATCATGGCTGGCTTTAAACACAATCGTGATTGTTTATTTCGTCTTTTTACTGTTCTTCATTCGTTAGGAAAGAGCTTTTTTGAAATTATTTGGTTTTACATCGGTTGTTAAGTATGTGTGTGGAGAAAAAGAAGAAGTTGTCGGTGGGAAGCGGATGAAATTGAATGGCGCGGCCGAGTGGTTAGGGTGCTGGACTTGTAATCCGGTGTCCCGGGTTCAAGTCCTCCACCCTGCCACTCACTGGATTTGTTCTTGATTGCCCCTAGTTCAACTCCTTGGCTGTGCTCTGTAAATACCTTACTGGTGTACCTCTTGCCAGTGGGGGTTTTAAGCTCTTAGTTAGTCTACATTGTGGCTGGAAAAACCCCTAAGAAAGAGCTTCAGTTAACGTATACTATTATTATCATTATGATTATTATGATTATTATTATTATTATTATGATTATTATTATTATTATGATTATTATTATTATGATGATGATTATTATTATTATAATAAGAAAAAATCCAAGTCCCAGATGTGGCTTGAACCCACGACCCTCCGTGATCTAGTCGGATGCTCTAACCACTGAGCCACTGGAAACTATAGTGAGCAAGGGTCAATTTGTGGGTCCCGACTGGAACCGCATCGCGCGGCTACTCAGCCAAGTATTGACCAAACGTGTATGAAACTCACTAACAGCATCGCGCTGGAACTTGGATTTTTTCTTATTACATATTTTTTTCTTATTACATTAAATTGTTTCACCTTGACATGATCACTTTGGAGGTTGGTTGGCCGCATCTTGATAAGCTTTAATGTGACAGCGCGATGCT